ATCCAGATGAGCAATAATTACCATAGAACATAGAGTCGCATTCGACTCTGAAAGGCAGAAAACAGTAATATTAGAATTCCAACCTGAACTTACAACTGTGTTGGGAGAGCGAATAAACGAGACCAAAAGTTGCACAATCACTTTAGTGAAAAACTCACAGCACAAAACGGATAAAACATAAAACTTGGAGTTCGAATGTGAATTAGAGCTCAGACTTTGATGGCAAACACTCAAATCCACATCTTTGGTTGGCAAGCTCTCAACTTCGCAAACTATTGCAACGAGTTAATTATCTAATCAAGGGCTGAATATTATCAACTAATTCCAACTTCCACTGTATGCCGAGATTAGCATGTAAAGTTCATGCTGTGTTCCGGCTATCAGAACTTCGTGTCCCATAGAAGTCGCTTCAAGTAGAATGAGCGCAGCACGATATAAGTCCCAGAGGACAGGATAAAAGATGGCGAAGGGCGAAATAACTGCTACCTTGATACTTGATATCGAGGGTAGTAGTTTTTCCATCAAAGTCTGAGTTCGAATTAACACTCGAATCAATCACTCTAAATCCACGGACCAGTAGAACGTTACAACATGATCAATAGAAGTCTCCTGAAGACGTCCAAGTTGTATAGCTGTTACTGACTTTAATTGTCAGAACAAAGGTCCCAGTTTCGAATTCTAGAGAAAGCAAAGTGTTTGTGAGGCATCTATGTACTTAAAATAGTATAAGGAGAGCCAAAACTTCTACCGAGTGGTTTGGTAGCAGGGAAGAAGAGATGGCAGACTCTCCAATTCGTGCACCGGGTGTTATCCTTCAAAATTGTGAGTGAAGTAGACAAAGTATCTTTGTCTTGTTGCTCAAAGCTCATGCCAGCGCAGACGCAATCTTGCACTCGCTTTTCCCCATACATTTTCCTTTTCTCCCTAGCACCTATTCCTGACATGATATTTACTTACTTCCGTTGGCATAATGAAATGTCGCCCATATCCTTAAAGGAGCCAAGTCCTCCGAACAATATCCGTTGAGACGAGTAATTAGATGAGAGAAAAGGCGACGCTTTGCGACGTGTGCTTCATCATCAAGGAATAAAGCACACCATTCGATTCAAAACCATTTTATAATTTAAACTGAATATTTATGGTATTAAATGTGACAAAGTGATTTAAAAAACATATTCTTTCGCTTTTCTTTTCTTGCGCTATCTATTTCTTGCTAAAAATATCTTTCCTTTTCTTTGCGCTCTGTTATATTACTTTTAAAATTGGCATCATCCACGGAAGAAGTGTTTTGGTGTGAAAAATTTTTGAATTGATGTGTTCGCCTTCTTCGTGGTGCTTCATATAAAAATTTTTTCTTTAATTTGATTGCGAAAGAAATGGAATATAATATTGAAGAAACTTACACAGAACTTGTCGAGGCTGTGAATTTAGTGATGAATCCTTGCACTTCTGCAAATCAACGTGCCGAAGCGCACAAGGTTTCAATTTCCTGATAATTTTTAATGATTGTATTTGTTTAAAATCTTAATTTTTAACATTTCAAAGGAACAAATAATGTAAAGCGCTCTTGAAAATTTCAGTGTTTAAGTATTAAGATCAAACATGTTTATAATATACTTCGTTTTTAATTAATGCGGGAACAGTACAGTATGTTACAATTTTTCCTTATAGCTTCGAGTGATGTCTGAAAATGTTATAACATTTATTCATAATTGAATAAAAATGGGCTCTAGTGTAGAGTTGGGTGCCTCTTCGATTAGCGACAATTTTTTTTTTTTTTTTAAATTTTGGCTATGAAACCTCATTTCTGGTTACCATGATAGTTTTAGCTTTTTGATTTTTTTTAAATGATAATAGATTGATGTGTACATGGAAAAATTTAAGGTAGTGCGCAATGCCCAGTTTGTGCAATTCTGGGATATTTTTTTTTTAAGTGAAAACAGATCGACCTGTACATGGACACACAGTTTTTGCAATTCTAACTTCTTTTGGTTTTGTGTAGTGGCCACTTTGAAATTGTGCCTTCCTGGCACTGATCTTGGCATCAAAAAAGAATCACCAAAAAACAAGGGGCACCCAATTGTAAACTTTTACCAAATATATGAAATATATTGTTACAGCAAGTTTTTTTTTACTGAGCTATGCCTGGTATAAACCTTTTTTATTTATATAACAATGCTAGAATTAGAATTATTTAAACTTTAGGAACAAAGGCAATCATGACGAAGATTACGTGTGACATTGGGACAAGTGCGAATCGCCACTGTTTGCGCGTTTTACGAATTGCACATCATGGTATCATCATGTACACGTCAACCATTCATTAACAAAAAATCCCAGAAGCACAAAAAATGGCATTGCGCACACTCTTGACTATATCCATGTACACTGTAAAGTCCTAACTAGAAACTTTACGCCGTACCAAAATGTCCAAACTACCTGTTACCATATTCCAAAGATTAGCTTAATATTTTTATAATTGCTATCTAATAAAATTAAATAATAAGCATATTTTTATTAATATATTTTTTTGATGTCATTTTTGGGCTCCACCAGTGACTGAGTGGTTAGGACCACTGAATGATCGTATTCAACCTGCTTTGGGTTTGAAACCATGCAAATGGGCTGGCTGCATAGTTAGTATATATTGTTTTCACCATGTTCAATGTGAACGTAAGTCAGTTTCCCTAGAAAAGTTTTCCATGAGGGCAGATAGCACTCATGACCTTATGATATTCAAATAATGTAACTTTGATTGCATTATGAGTTTTAAAAATCTTTGATTTTCACTTGCAGTGAATGGCATTAGATAATCTTTCCTATAATAGGGGTGGGAGTTTGTATAGAAAGATAAATGGTTGATCTTTGGATTATGGTAACTTGGTGATTTTTTGGCGAAAATTTGGCGGCCAACTCTGCTACAGCAAGCCTCTGTTTTTTTGTTTTTTTTTCCGCCGCCATTTTGTCTTCACGAAGTAGTAAAGACATGTTTCTTTTCTTTTTATCTACTGAACACTTTTCCAACAATCTACTAGCCGAATTACACTTATGCTAGAAATTTTATCTAACAAAACTGCTTAATCATGACAAATATTCACTGCAAAATTGGGAAAAAGTGCACAATACCATACTCCTTACGCGTTTTTCAAATAACACATACACATAAACCATGTACACGTCGACTTATTTTTACTTAAAAAAACATCCCAGAATTGCACAAAAATGGCATTGCGCACACTCTTCACTATATCCATGTACACTGCTTTTTTCTCATAAATTAAAAAATTTCACGAAAATACATGACAATTTTCTCAATCTTTAAACTCGGTAAAAAGAACATATATGAAATTACCTGATCGCGAAAAAAATATATACCCTTTCCAAATATGAACATTTCCACGTATAAAATAAATAAAATATCCAAAAACTTTTACCTCTAAATCTATCTATTATACACGTCACCAACGAATTCATACCGCAAACATTACAAATACTTAGTGTCAAATATTTAAATTATTTCCATGCACGTTTACTTCAACTTAAACGTATACCAAATTCCTACAAACATAAAATTCACAAAATAACTATCATTTAATTAAAATATAACTAAACCATGTACACGTCGACTTATTTTTACTTAAAAAAACATCCCAGAATTGCACAAAAATGGCATTGCGCACACTCTTCACTATATCCATGTACACTGCTTTTTTCTCATAAATTAGAAAAATTTCACGAAAATGCATGACAATTTTCTGAATCTTTAAACCCGGTAAAAAGAACATATATGAAATTACCTGATCGCGAAAAAGTATATACCCTTTCCAAATATGAACATTTCCACATATAAAATAAATAAAATATCCAAAAACTTTTACCTCTAAAATCATCTATTATTATAAACGTCACCAACGAATTCATACCGCAACATTAAAACAAATACTTAGTGTCAAATATTTAAATTATTTCCATGCACGTTTACTTCAACTAAACGTATACCAAATTCCTACAAACATAAAATTCACAAATAACTATCATTTAATTAAAATATAATTAAACCATGTACACGTCGACTTATTTTTACTTAAAAAACATCCCAGAATTGCACAAAAAATGGCATTGCGCACACTCTTCACTATATCCATGTACACTGCTTTTTTCTCATAAATTAGAAAATTCACGAAAATGCATGAAATTTTCTGAATCTTTAAACGGTAAAAAGGACATATAAATTACTGATCGCGAAAAAGTATATACCTTTCCAAGGATGAACATTTGCACATATAAAATAAATAAAATATCCAAAAACTTTTCCCTCTAAATTATCTATTATAAACGTCACAATGCCAATTTATAACGCAAACATTAAAAATTGTTGCAAATACTTAAGTGGCAAATATTTAAATTATTTCCATGCACGTTACTTCTTAAACGTATTCCAAAATGCTAGAAACATATAATTCACAAAATAACTATCATTTAATTAAAATATAATTAAATTAAAAACACTACTTAAATATAAATAAACACATGCATTAAATTAATAAAAATTAGCTTCAAATCTTAATTACTTTAAACTAATTCATTGCTAATAACAATTTCCAATAATACCATATTAATTTATTTCCTTACATTTCGAACAATGCATAAAAATAATATCCTCAAATGATAAAAAATATTAACTTACCTAATCTTCTTCAGAATCTTGAGTGCATAGCGGATAAACGTTTTTTATGGATTCAATAAAATCATTGAATGATTTTTCTGGTAATTTTTCTGCCATATTTCCTCTGCTAAATAAAAAGCAAAATTCTCCTATCATAATACTTCCGAATAGCACTTTTTATAGCACCCCACGTGCCCTCAATCGTATTCGTATGTCCATTTTCACCAGATTTCTTGCACCGCCATTCAAACTTATCAGTAATATCCTTCCTCGAATTCACTTTATATAGGGCCATGGGATCCAAAAATTAATCAGCACTCTTTCACACAACACGCAATGAAGCTAAATACCAAATGCTAAATGCAATAAAAATTTCAAATTCACTTTATATAGGGCCATGGGATCCAAAAATTAAGGAACGCTCTTTCACACAACACACAATGAACCTAAATACAAAATGCTATAAAGAACTGCAGATATTTTTCCAAATTTTCCTCCTTTTCAGATTAAACAACTGTGATTTGTCCATAAATGTCTCATGATCTCTCATTTCTCTCACCCAAAATAATGCGTAATTGGAACTCGGTACTTCTCACATTATTGCCAAAATCCTAGGTAGTAACCTTTATCGCCTACCAAAATGTCGCCAAACTGCCTGTTACCATATTCCAAAGATTAGCCAGATAAATTTGTGAAACATCGAAACATATCGTCTGTCCAACAATTTTTCCATGCAAACATTCTCAGGTTAATCATGTAATTCTATTTTATGAATGATGTTTTGTGGAAATAAAATCAGGAGCCAGCTGTTGGAGGAGGGGGACTGAAAGAAAATGTCCTAGTTTTCAAACATCTTTCATGGGCCAGTATCCCATGGGTCCCATTTGTTTTAAAATTATTCGAAAAAATTACTAACCTAAGTGTGTTTTACCGCAGTGTTAAAACTTTCATTATATTGTATTAATAAAGTGTGTGATAAAATAAAACTTTCATTTCATTTTATACTTTTATTATTATATATACTTTGATACTTATACGTATTTTGGTATCTCTACTAAAGTACCAAATTTTTAGGATGTACCAAGCTGCAATCATGCTCATAACAATCAATCATTTAAGCAAAGTTGCCATTTTTGTGTTGTTCTGTTTGCTATATTCCAAATTCCAATAATTTTAGACAAATCATGATAGTTCTTGACTTTAATTTAATTTAAATCATGCTTTCATGGAATTTCACACCCATGAAAGAAACTGCAGTGAACAGATAGAAGTGGGTAGACACCAGAATTTCATCATTAGTCTTATTGATATATTCCTGCCCAATTTTGAGAGAGTACATCCAAGGGAGTAGCGGTTTGAGAGTCTTCTCCTTCTTCCTCTACCATCAATCTCTTGAGTGGTTTCTTGATTTTCTTTCGATGATGTGTTTTGAGTGCCTCCTTTCCACACAGACACTATATGCTTACAAACACCCATGTCTTGTCTGAGATTCGAACCCAGGCATATCATCACTAACCGCTATATCTATCGACGACTAAATGTGTGGGTGTTTTATTTTTGGTTTTAATGTATTATATAATCCTTATTTAATAATTAAATTTATATTTTAAATTGCTTAGGTAATTGTCTTTTCTTTCTTTGTAAAGTTTCTTTTCTTCTGATATGTTAAATGTTTGCGAGCTTACGGTAAATAGTGATATTTTGGGAAATCATTTTTAAAAAAAAATTCATGAAAAAATGTGACTTCCACTGAAAAGTTCCTATTTATACATTTTTACATTTAAGTAATGAATTTGAAAATCGATACTGGAA